CCCCCCCCCGCCCCGTGGAATACCCTTCGCACCACTTGCCCCTCTTGGCCAAGGCTGTGCTTCAGCCAGGACTACTCTCTGGCAGGTCAGGCCCTGGGCCATCCCCTGGTCTTTGCGAGGCCCAAACAGGAAGGGAAAGTCTCCAGTCCTCGGCGTGCCCACCCTCCCGTCACAATCGCTCCGCCCACCGCATGCTTCTCATGGCAGGAAGAGTCCCGGCTAGGCCAGCTCTGCGTGGAAGGCCTTCGCCATGGCGTGTCCCACTTTCACTGCCGTCTTCTCCTTGGCCCCTGGGCCCAGGTTCTGGCGGGCCAGCTTCACCCAGTATTGCTCTGTCCGGGAGAGGTAGTCCGGGTACTTCTCCTCCGGCTGCACGGCAGGGTGGCCTTCTGAGAGTGAGAACGAGAGAGAGGTCAGGTTCCTTGGCCTTTAACCTTTCCCAAACCCAATTGCTGGAAGCCGCCCAGAGACCTTTGGGTAGAATGGGCCGCATACAAGTTAAATAAATAAAATAAATACATTTAATGAAAACTTATTGAGTTGCAGGGAGAAAGTTTGCCAGCGCTTCCAAAAGCCCCGAGCGTGAAGGCATAACTCTTTCCCCGGCCATTTGGCTCAGCAAGTACCTTCCTCTTTCTCTTCACTCTCCTCGTTGTCTGAGGCCTCTTCGTCGTCTTCTTCCTCCTCCTCCTCCTCCTCCTCCTCTTCCTCCTCTCCCCCTTCAGCCCCTTCCACGGCTCCCTCTTCCTCAGACTCCGATTCTTCCAGCCATTCCTGTGTTTCTGCCACAGGCATTGGAAAGCAAAGAGAGCAAGAAATGAACAGCAGGGTCCCACTAAGAACGTGATGCCCAGGGAGGAACCTCTTCTGGGCCTGGCTTGACAAAAGCAGTGCTTCTAAACCAAGGCGGGGCATGTGTGTGTGTGTTTGCTTTTAGGGAGAGGATGGCCCAGGCCTCCTCCGCCCCCCAAGGAGGACACGCGCCATTCCAGGGGTTGCCTGCTGACCTGTCCCCTAAAGGGGATATCAGGGAGGCAGAAAACAACAACATTCATGGGGTGGGGGTGGGTTGTGTGTGTGTGTGTGTGTGTGTGTGTCCCAGGACAGTCAGAAGCCCCTCCCCCCATGAGCCACATAAAGAGCCAGAAACAATACCGGGAGTGGGAAAAAGCTCCCTTTTGGGATGGCACCTTATTCGCTCACCCTCTAGTGGGAGGAACTCTGGGCACAGGACCATCCAAAAAAAGAGAGGGTCTTCTCCCAACCCCAAGAACGCTGGAGGGGCAATAGCATGTTATAGCACAACCCCTGAGGGCATCTGAGTGGCTCCCATCAGCTTTTAAAAAGCTGGTGTAGAATCTGCCAGGCTCTCCAACCCTCCCCCCCTCAGCGGCACCCCTAAGCCCTCCTCCAGAGCTTGAAGGAGGCTCTTTCTGGGGGAGAGGCCAGGGCTGGGACAGCATTAAGAGGATATCCCCTCCCCCGCATCCTTATTAGGATGCTCTCCCACCCACTTCCTCTACAACGCAGGCAAATGACCTGGATGGAAGGTCAGGGAGTTAGAGTCTTCCCCTTCCAAGAGAAGGGAACAAGGAACAAAGGTTATTCGGCACCTCTCAGGTGACTCTGCTGTGATTAAGGCTAAGACTTTGAGACTGAGACACGCACACAGGAGGCCAGGCAGCTTAAAGGGCCTGGAAAAAAGGTCTTCCCAGGGATTAAGCAAGGCCAAAATTAGGGCATGTGTCTGCGCATGTGGCACCTTCACTGCTATTCACGGCCCAAAGAAGAAGAAAAAGAGGCGCCAGGCAGCACGGCCGCCCCTTGTCTCCGTGTCATCCTAAATAGGCTTTACTCCCCAGCCTGCATCAGTCGCAGGACAGAATTATAAGCGGCTGTCCTCAGAGCCCAGGTTTCGAGGAACGCGTCTGACGCGAGCGAGCGAGCGAGAGGAACGGCTGAGCCAAAGGTTGGCAGCCACACCAAGCGGCAGCGGGAAAGAGCTCTCGCTCTCTCCCTTGACGTTTCCACAGCAGCGAAGACCGCCAGCGTCTAGGATTTGAAGCACCTGGGCTTTTCTCCGGCTCCTGGGTCTCAGGCAGCACAGCGACTCTTCTGGAAAGGGAGACTCGCTGCCATCTATGCTCGTTTTTCTAAAAGCCCACGTGCCAGGAACCCCGCACGCTGACAAGAAGTCCCGTGGCTGCAGCCTCCTCCCCACAGTGTTGCTCCTCTCGGGAGAGCTCAAGAACCACCAATTCTGTGTGACAAAAACAAGCAGTTATGCAGCCCTCCAGAAAAGGGGGGGGGGGAGAACCAAGCTGGTTTTTGCACAGAACTTCTGCTCGCCCCCAAAGGCTTCTGGCATCTGCAGGCTTTCCAGCTTCTTTCTAGCCGTAAGGACTAACAACCTGGCTTCTTTTTTAAAGAAATGAAACACAAAGGCTGTTGATTTCTCCACCTAACTAGAGGTTGTGCAACTGCCACAAGTTGAGAACGTTGGGTTTTTGTTTTGTTTGGAGGACATGCTGGCTGAAGAGTATTCTGGGAGAGAAAGCAGAACGGAAGGCAGCCAGAGTGGAAGGAGGTAGGCAGGACCAACTTACTCGGATCCATTTCCACAAGAACCTTCCAGCCGTCCATCTTGTGGAGGTCGAGGGCATAGAGGTCGTTGAGGGTGAACTGGCGGTCGCCCACTTCAAACATGCCCCCGTAGAGGTACAGCACCCCGTGCTTTGTGGCCAGCATGGCGTTCGAGCGTGGGGAGGGCTCCACCGGCGGCCCAGGAGGCTCCTCCCCCCCCGTCCCGTCCTCTTCGTCCTCCGAGCCGGACTTTGCCTGAGGCCCCACCTCAGGGGCCGAGACCAGCTGCTTCACGACCGTGATGGTCCCGTCCTCGGCCACCACCTCCTTTACAATCTCCGCAGGACTCTGGGGGGGAGCCTGCTCTGCTGCTCCCCACTCAGTGTGGGGGTCCTCGGCTGCGGGGCCTCGCCTCCTCCTCTTCCTCTCAGACTTTGGGCCCTGGGGGTTTGGAGGGAGAGACACCGCTGTCAGCTGGGGAGGGGCGCCACTCTGCCCCCTCGGTGGCCCTGGGCTGCAACACCTCCCAGGCCTCAGCCCTACGTCAAGGGGGAAGGAATCCTCACGGTCGCACCCAGCCACGGTGGGGAGGGTGGCCCTCGGCCCGCCCAGGTGTTGTTGAAGGCCCTGCCCAACAACCCCCACCCCCAGACGGGGAGACGGACGGAGGGTGAACGGGTCAAAGGGCTGCCAAAGCAGGTGAAAGGGGGAGGGGCGTACCACCTTTAATAGGCCGGGAAACCAACGGCTTTTGGCCAGATCGTAGAAGTAAAGGTCGTTGTAGAAGTCTCCTTCGAGGCACTCCTCCTCCTCCTCGTCGTGTACCCCACCAAACAGGACGGACCGGCCGCTGGGCCCCAGCGTGACGGAGAAGCCGGACCTGGGGCTGGGCTTCACACCAGAAGGGTTGATGCGAGACCACGTCCACTTGCCTGGAAAACATACAAGAGATCTCTTGATGGCTGGGGAGGCCCCAAGCTCAGCGGAGGGGCACACGTCTCACACCTGCATGAAGTTCCCGCCCCCCCAATGCTTTCGTCCTGCTTTGAAACCTTGTCCCCCCCCTCCTCCTCCTCCTCCTCCACCACCCTCACCCTGCCCTCAAAGGCAGAGTTTTCCACCCCTCCAGCCGCTCCCCTCCCATCTGCTGAGCAGCCAAAGGACGCCAGAAGGGACCAGACGCCAAATATCTCACATGAGTGGCCCAAGGTGCCAGAACGACACTCTAACCTGTTGTAGGTCACCTTCCCTGTTTAGGGAGAGGAGGCACGCCTGGCGCCTGCTGCTCACCTGTGCTTGGGGCCTGGAGCAGGAACATGTCGGTGTGGAGGGTGCCTTTGTCAACATCCTTCTTAACTCGCTGCAAAACAAAGGAGGCCGCATACTTCTAAAACCTAAAAAAAAGACTTCCAAGCCCAAGTTGTTGCCTTCCACCTGAAGGGCAGAAAAGGGCAGACCTGTGAAATGTCACCGATCAGGCATTCTCACAGATTTGTCACATGCTGACAAATTCCACACACATTTCACCTCTGTGAACATCCTCCCACTTTCCTAGAACTCCCCCCCCCCGGCCTGGCAGGCGCGTCCACCTCTAGGAGTGGGGGGGGGTCGCAATCCACACAGAACACGATGGAAAAGGAGGAGCCGGGCTTGGCTAGGGAGAGGGATGTGTGTGCTGAAATGCAAACCCTTCGCCCTGCCAGAAAAGAGGAAAGGCAAGGGGTCGCTCTTTCCTCTCAGAGTCAAGTGACCCTCAGAGTTGGCAGGAAGAACAACAGAAAAGCCAAGCCACCTTGTGGATCAGAGGCCAACGGAGGCGGGTGCAGGAAGGGGGGTTGGCGGGAGCACGGATCCTCGCCCCAAAGGCAGAAACCCAATCTCTTGCAGTCAAAGTCGGTGTGCGCACACACAGGGGCACGCTCTTGGAAATCCAAGCGGAAACTACAACAGATCCTGCCCAGTGAACCAAGAACAAATTAATGAGGGAAAGCCAGGAGGGGAGAGCACAGGGGGAAATTGGAGGGAGAGGAAAATCAAAGCAGGAAACTGTGGACTAGAAACTGGGCAGAGCCCCCACTTGGCTGGCCTGCTTTCCTTGCCCAGGGTACCAAAGGAGTTTGTGTGGGGGGCACCAGGCTCCTTCATTCTCCTCCCACTGAGTGGGTAGGATGATCAATATGGAGGTGAGTGAACGGCTCAGGAGAGAGATGGTGTGGGTGGGAAGGAAGAAAGGCAGGAGGGAGGAGAGAAACACATTTCCCCCCCCCCCAGTGGATGGGGAGGGTCCGGCACAACGACAGGCTCAGCCTCATCATTCACTGCCAGGCCTCCTGGGAGGTGCACCTCGTTGAACCATCTTGGGCACAGATTTTTCAGCATGTGCTGCTACAGCTCACCCACAGGAAGGAAGGAAGGGCTCCACGGCCATTGGGGGGCCCTCCCCCCTCCCCTCCTTGCCCAGACACAGCTCCAAGTGACCATAGCGGAAAGGGAATACTGGCCAGGTGAGTGAGCCCTACCCCTTGCAAGCACACTGCTGTCCCCCACCCTCAAAAGACATCCAGCCTCACAGGGAGGGAGAAGGCACAGCTAATAATAATAATAATAATAATAATAATAATAATAATAATAATAATAATAATAATAATAATAATAATAATAATAATAATAATAATAATAATAATAATAATAATAATAATGATGATGATGATGATGATGATGATGATGATGATGATGATGATGATGATGAAGTGGCACCTGCTTAGAGTATCCTCCGTAGACAACAATGTTGCCTTCTGGGGTGGTAGCCAAGTGGCAACCAGATCGTGGAGCGGGGCCCATCCCGGAGGGAGTCAGCTTGGTCCAGGCAAATGTGTCCAGACTGAAGGCATAAACGTCACTGTAGTAGACATAATCTCTGCTTGGAACAAGATGCACACAATAAATGCCCGGTTATTGGGTCAAAAGTGGACAAGACATTTATGGGTCGCTCGGCTGGATTGGCGGACACCCCACTCACTCAGCTGTTCTGGGCAGGCCCGCATGGTGGAGATGCAACGGAAAGAGGAGCCCCTGCCTGCTGCTTCCTGCCTGGAGGACGGCCACTGAGAACCCTGGGCCTCTGAACACGGGAACCCACTTGGGCTCCTGTCACAAATTCCCAGGACGAAATGGGTCCATGGTGTTCAGGATCCATCCTTCCTTATCCAAAGCTAGGCGCGCCACCCAAGGGAGAGGCACCTCAGGCCCTGGGACTCTCTCGGGCCACCAGAACCCTCCAGGACAACTGACAGGAGCACGCGGGGACCGGGACACGACACATTCAGCACCACGGCCAGCAGCTTGGAAGGCAGCCGCTCACCCTTCCCTAAGCAGGCTGCCCGTGTGCTCCAGCGTCCTGGATCCCTAATGATGGAAGACACAGGAAATTGGGGGGGGGGAATCCTGGGGTCTGCCAGTGAGGCAGGCCCAGCGGCCCCCGATGAACTCTCCACGCGTCTTTCAGCCGGAGGGCCAGGGCGCCTCGGAGGCGCTCTTGGGGGCCACAGGCCAGAGCTGGGGCTCAGCCAAACCACCGAGCCTCCCTTTCACGGCAAAGCCCGACAGTCTAGGACACACGAAGCACACGCGACAAACCAACCTGGCACTTTCATGGAATCCACCAAAGATGATGAGCTGCCTCTTGCAGGCCACCATGCGATGCCCGCTCCGGCCCGAGGGAGCACCGGAGGCCCTGGGAGAAACACAGACTGATGGCGTCCAAGGGGCAAATGGGCGGCAGGAGCCCCCTCCTTCCCAGCTCCTGCTCTGTCTCATTTGGGGGCACAACCAGCTCAGCTATGCCCAAACCTCTCCCACCTGTGGCTCCCTCTTTCCTGCCAGTTGGCACAGGTCTGCTCTCTCGGGAGGCCACTGCTCCCTGTCTCCCTCCATCCCGACCCCTTAATCTTATCAAGAAGACAAACCCCCAAAGGGAGGGGCACAAAGGAAGCTTTTTTAAAGCTGGGAAAAAAACCCTGTGGATAAATTTCACATAAATATCTTGCCACCGTGGAGGTCCACATGCTCCACGCTCAAATGCCGAAAGCCCGTCAGGCCTTTGGTCCATCGACCATCAGAGGGCGGCCGAAGTGCACGGAGGATCCCTGACCCAGAACAGACATCTGCAAAATCCTGCCTCTGCTCCAGGAGAACCTCAGTGACCTTCGGCACTTGCTCTTCTGAAAAGAGGCTGCAGCTGGAGCCTCAGGGGTGCTTCGAGGATGCTTTGGGGCAAAAGGCGAACCAGTGCCATGGTGCTCCCCAGAGGCCTTTCTCTCTGCTCCCCGCCCCCAGCAAGGGGGTGGGTTGGGGGGCAGGAGTCCTTCTAGCAGCCACGGTGCTGAGGGTGTCAGAGGAGGGTGGCTGCAAGGGGGCTCGGGGGCCGCAGAAGACTTTCTTCACCTGATCTGCTCCCAGGTCCGGCTGGCCAGGTGTAAAACCCACAGGTCTCTGTAGTGATAAAACTGCTCCCCGTCGGGTGATGCAAACTCCCCGCCAAAGATCCAAAGCTGCCCTCCACCCTGGGCCAGGGAGACAGCCTGTGGGGAGAGCAGGGGTCGGGTGCAGCGAGGAGAGAAGTAGAAAGAGGCAACAACAACAACAACAACAAGAGGTTTCAGTGTTTTTTTCTGCAGCTTGGCTGCTCCACCGGTTCCCCCTGGGCCCTCACCAGGATCATCAGGAACCTTCTGGGATACAGGGATCCTGAAGGCAGAGTACAAAGAGCTCAAAATCCAGGCTGGGGACCTCTCCCCCCCCCAGGAGAAACAAAGGTTCCCCTTTGCTGCTTTCAAATAATGTAGATAGTCTATTAACAGAAATAAGAGGCCACTATGAACAGGTGCAGTTGACAGAGTAGGGCAGCACCAGCAGCTGGGGATTATGGGCACTGTAGTCCAAGGCATCCCACTGCGCCCAGTTTGGGGGATGCTGGATTACTGTGGGAAGCCTTGCTGGGAAATGGACCATTTGCTGAGCCTCCACCTGCTGGGCACATCCCCTTACAGCAGCAAGAATTTCATGGACCAGGGAAATCCTCCTTCTTTCTATTGGTCACCTTGTATGATCATTTTAGGAGAGATGAGAGAGCAAGAGGGCCTTCTTGGCTCCTGCTGGATTCCCAGCCCGCCCCCCCGCCGCCCCCCTGGTCTCTGACAGGGCCAAGCACCTCACCTGATGAGCACAGCGCCGGGGAGGCGGGTTTGGAATGTCGATTTGTGTCCAACTGTTCTTCCGAATGTTGTAAACAAAGAGGTCGTTGTACAGGAACGTCTAAAGGAGTCATAAGGATGGAGTGGGAACAGAGAGAGAGAGGGAGAGGGAGGGCTTGCCATCCGGAGTGGCTTCCTCATGAGGGCTGCATTTTGTTTATTGGCTTAGGAGACAGTCCCTTCCACCCGTAAGCTTGGGAAAGGCCATGAGGTGAACGCATTGTTAAAGAAAACCCAGAATTCCTACGTTTTCAGACTAGGAACAACCCCGTCATGCAGGCATCAAGCCCACACAGGAAGGCACTTTCGCCACCAGGCTGCCTGGCCATCCCTCCAGAGACGATGAAAGGACCACTGTAATTAAGACCACCGCCATGCTGGTCTCTTCCGCATTCCCACCCCTCTCCACACACCCGTGTACGTCTGTTTGCCTACTAAGCTTACACTGGAGAAAAGGCTGCTCTTCTGCCACTCCTCATGCCACTCGGCAGAATAGCAACCCCTGGAATTTTCTTAACTTATGACTAACAGGTCCCACTCCTTTCCATAGGTCGACTCTCGTTGGCTTCAGCCCCCAACACCCCTGCTGGGCTGCTCCAAAGAGCCGCCTCTTTCTCTTTGCCAGAAGAACATGCAAGAGGGGCTTGCTTTCATCAGAAGGATGTATGTGTGCCTGTGTGTGCGCACGCACACACAGGCACACCATGGGAGAAGCTTAACCAGTCGCCTGGCCCTGTCTCCAAAAGTGATCACCTCCTGAAACTTTGATGAAGGCCAGGCCATCACTCTTGGTCCTCTTAATGGAAAGTGCTTTGCCTCCTGGCAGCAGGAACATTGTCCCCGCGAGGGGCAACGACAGGCCATTATTTTCGTCCAGGAATAACACAGATTCATTTATAGCCTCAGCCCCTCATTAAAAAAAAATATTCGGTCTCTGTGAAATTACTGGAGAACAGAAAGAGGAAGCAGAGTCTCTAAGTGGGAAGAACAGAGGAGGGGTCAGGCAGCCTTCCCTAAGCTGGTGCCGGGAGATAACGGGGGCACCAGAGATAACAGGCATTCTGATCTGACCCTCTGGAGGGCAACAGGTTGTGGGGAGGCTGGAGTAGCAAAAAGGGAGAAGAAACAAAGGAAGATACTTTACTTTTTGGCCATTGAAATATTCACCTCCAAAGAGAATTAGTTCGTCTTTCTCAGGATGCGCAGAGAGGGAAGCGTTGAGCCTGGGAACAGAAAGGAAGGATAAATATCAGAAAGCCAAGCACAGAAAAGTTTTTTTTCTCTCTCTCTCTCAATCACTCACACAGACACAGACTGCTTTCAAACATGGTCCATGAAGAGCCAGATGACTCTGCAGGCCAGGGAACCTTTCCTGCGCTTGCTCAGCCTGCTTTTCTGCCGCCGCCCCTCCCCTCCCTGTCCTCTGCTGCTGCTGCTGCATTAACTGGCAAGGCCAGAGGAAGGGTGAGACAACCCACAGCGCTGCCATTTGGGAGGTCCCCCCAGTTCTGCCTGCCTTCTCCGGCCCCAACGGCCCCAGGCTGAAATGCCTCCCCTCAAGACTCCATGACTGGCATGTAAGCCGCCCTGAGTAGACGTTGTCTAGGGGGGTGGGGTAAAAGCCTAATAATAAATAAATAAAACATTAAAAAGAGCATTCAGCTAAATGGCACCACTGGCAATTTTGGCTCTCCCCCTGTTGCCTTTGGCCTGGCCTGTTACTGGAATGCAGCCCCCGAGGGCTTCGCTGGATTTGAATCCAGAACTGTTGCTTGAAGGTGTTCTCCTCACTCTTGGGCTCGGCTGCCTGAAGGCCTGGCTCAACTCACGTAACCCAATCGGTACACTGAGACCTGTTTCATGAATCCTCCTCAAGGGCCCACTATGAAGATGGGCTGGGCTGGGGCAAAGGGCTTCTCCTGCGCTGGCAATGCCAGGCCACCTCTCCTCTCACTAACCTAATATCTGTACTGTTCCTTGTGACCCTGTCTTCGTTTTGGCTCGCGTCCCTGTGCAAAACCCCTCCTCCACGGACGCAGAAGAGTACTGAGACCTGTTTCATGAATCCTCCTCAAGGGCCCACTATGAAGATGGGCTGGGCTGGGGCAAAGGGCTTCTCCTGCGCTGGCAATGCCAGGCCACCTCTCCTCTCACTAACCTAATATCTGTACTGTTCCTTGTGACCCTGTCTTCGTTTTGGCTCGTGTCCCTGTGCAAAACCCCTCCTCCACTGACGCAGAAGAGTTTTACACAAGAACAGTAACAAAACTATGATAGACTGCTAAGTAAAATGACAATGAGCCAAACCCCCAGATAATGAGTCAACCCCAGATAAATCAAGGGGAACAAAGGCATCTACTAAACGCTTTTAGAACCCTTGATCTGTTCGTAAAGATGTATGTTTACTTGCTTTATCTGTGGCGACACAATTGAAGGGAAATGTCAAACCTGACACTCCAAGATAACAATAAAAATACTTAGAATAGCACCAAACGAGGACACGCGTCAAAAGGTGCCATTTACAAAATCTCATAGCAACTTTCTTTTTTAAAAAATGAGTTAAGATGCTTCCTCCCATCATGGATGGCCAGTTTGGGGAAGGGGGAGCAGCAGCCCCTGTTCCTGGGAAGGAGGGACCCCCCCCTCCCTCTGTGCCTGCCAGGGCTTTTTACCTGGGCGAGGGAGGCGGGCACGGGGTCTCCACCACTTGGGTCTTTTTCGCATCCAGACTCTGGAATTCCGCGATGAGAGTTTCCAAATCTTCCTGCAAACAACGAGGCCATTTATTAGGAGACCAAAGGACGACCCGCCTCGCTTAGGCCGGTGTTCTGGGCCTCTTCTGGAAGACCCCACCCAAAAAGGGGCCAGGATGACCCTGTTTGCACCCTCAGGCCTTTACCC